CCTGCTGAAATATCCACAGCCTTCCTGGGAAAAGATGCTGCCTTGCATGTCTCTCTAAAATTGCAGCTCACCAGTGCCATGAGCACTGATGCAGCCCCGCACCATCGCAGATGCTGGCTCCTCCACCTTTCACTGATAACAGTCTGGATGGTCTTTGTCTTCTTTGCCATGGGGAATCTGATGTCCATTCTTTCTGAAAACAGGTTGAAGCATGGACTTGTCTGGTCACAGAACATCTCTACTGTCTGTCAGTCCATCTGAGATGAGCTTGGCCCAGGGAACTCAGCAGCCTCTCTGCACAGAATGGATCTATGGCTTCCTCCTTATGTAGCAGTAGAGTTTCAACTTGCATATCTGGATGCAGCAGCAGACTGTGGTAGGTGACAACGTTTTTTCAAAGTCCTCCCGAGCCCATGTGGCTGTATTCATAACAGTAGCATGACTGTTTCTCATGCAGAGCCTCCTGAGGGCTTGAAGGTCATACACATGGTTTCCAACGTTGGCCTTTAAGTACCAAGATTAGCCCAGATTCCCTGAAAGTTTTCACCATACGTAGATGGTGAAAGACAAATTGTTTGCAATTTTGTATTGAAAATTTTTCATTTTGAACTGGTTGGCATTTCTCTCAAGAAGTTTGACACAAAGTGCTGAATCATTCTTGACCCATCCTTGATTGCAAAGACTGAGCTACTGTTGGATGCTCCTTTTATCCCCAGTTATGATTCCAAATTAACATGCTAATTTTGAAATCTTCCAGAATGGTGTTGATGGCATATTCTATAAACTTTTCATTCTTAATTAGCCTCTGTCCCAACATGTGTGTGTGTGTGCATGTGTGTGTTGCAGGCATCAAATTGGTCAGTGAAAACAATGAAAATCTTTTCATCACGTTTTGTCAATAAAATAAAGTTACACACAAAATAACAAATTTAAATTTTTATTGTACTTTGAAAAATTCCCCAACCTTTTTGTAAATTGGGTTTGAATTTTACTTTAAATCATTCACAAAATCCCATAAAACAACATCATATGTTTACCTTGACAAATTCCTAGATCTGCCCCCAACCGCTGCTGACTTTTGCATTGGATTTGTGTTAATATACAGCAACCACACATCAAGGGGTAGCTTCTTTTTGTAACTTTGAGGAGTAAATAAGTATTGACGGTTTGTTTCAATTGTGTTGTCAAACACAAATGAGGAGAAACCCGTTCGTGATTGAATCAAATGATCTTGGAAGCAGACACGTGTTTCTTCTATACAGTATTATCGTATCTTCCCTTCGCGGTTGCAGGTCTGCCCGCCCACCCCACGGTTGCTGTGCGCAGAAAAGGAACTGCGCAGCACTGCAACAGGGTAGAGGGGGGTTTAACACGGGGCAGACGGCAGAAGAACCAGGGCCCTGGTAACGTTAAAATTACAACCAACTCTTGTTCTTTACAGACATGACAGCAACTATTATTTCTCCTTTCCACGAGTACAGAGGAGTCACTGAGAAGGTAAAGCACCCCTCTGGTGAGGAATCGGTTGACTTGTCTTATCTGGAGAAAACATGCTAACATTAGCCTAGCCACTTCTCCACTGCAAGTTTGAGCTTAAGTTTTTGAAGTCAGTAACTTGCATCACTCACATTATTGACTAGTTACAGTACATGTCTCTCGAACGTTAAACAACATACGGCTTTTGTTCGCAAGTTAACACTGATCAAAAAAGGTTTTGCGCTCCTGGCTAACTTGTTGAATGTTTGTGCAAAGTGACACAGCGTTAGTTTAAAGATAACGTGACTGTGACGCAAACTGAGCAGTCACTATTAAACCTTTGCTCTGAATTGAATAAACGAGTTAGCTAACGTTAAATATAAATATGAAAAACCAACAATGCATGTACCATTTTACTATTTTGTCAAGTGTTGGAATGTTGCACGAAACCGTGCAATCGCTTAATATTGCACTTAATATTATCCTAAGCTAATGTTTACCATTAGCGTTCTCACTTCCTCTGTGAGACTGTGTATGAACTTGGTATTAAGTTAACAATTTGGTTCAGCTTCACTACGTAATTGTAGTAATGCCACTTAATTGCAACACATAGCTTTATCTGTCCACTGCTACTTTGTAGTTTTTGTTATCTGTATGTCCTCTGAAGTCTGAGGAGTTTACTGAGTTGTTAAAGCTGTAACTGTTCAGCTTCAGTATCCCCCTGTTCAGTCAGTGCCAGCCCACATGCTTGCTGTGTACTGAGGCCATGAGTTTGATAGGCGGTTTTTGCTGCTTAGCCTTAATAGCCTGCATGGATGTCAGTATCAAAACAGAAGTCAGCCTAGCTTTGTTTCAGCTGAATACTGAGCCCTGACAGTGCTGCATAGGAAGAGACACTATGCAAGACTTGTACCTATAATGGAATCACCATAGTGGCTGCAGGGTAGCATTTCTCAACTGTAGGTTTTCTCTGTTTTGAAAGATTGTTAGATACTTTTTTGATGCATAATATAATATACAAAGTGACAGTCTTAAATATCATATTTAGACTATTCTTCTGGACCACTTCTTTGACAAAACTGGTTCTCAGCTCCAACCACTGCTTGTGACAGCTTTGAATACTTTGTAATTGCTGTGCCTGCCCAAGATGAAGAAGAGTCCACTGGGATGCGAGTGCACAGCTCAGAAATGGTTGATAAATGCAGCACACACCACAATCCCTGACCATAGATGAAATTGTGTTTTTTTTTTTTTTTTTTTTTTTTTTTTTTTTCTCACCAAATTTCTTGTGCTTCTTATAACAGAGTAACAAGATGTTGAACTATAGCAGCGACAACAGTCTTGGTGGACTTAAGTTGACATCTGCCCCATGCTCCAGTGCCACCCTCTCCTCCTGCACCCCCACTGGTTCCCTGTTGGACATGAAGGTGGTGGGGGATACCTCTCCAGGAGCCCTCTTCCAACGCCGCCACTCAGTCAGCCTCCCCAGTACAAAGTTCAGCCAGAACCAGTCTGTCAGCGGCCTTAAAATTGATCCCTCTGGCTTGGGTAGCAGCTGCAGTGGCAACAACAAGGAGAACCGCTTCCGTGGGCGCTCTTACTCAGAGCTGGGGGACAGGTTGCGTCCCAGCAGTCAGGCATGGGGGGGTGGAACCAGCCAAGTCAACTCAAGCCGATATAAGACAGAGCTGTGCCGGCCCTATGAGGAGAATGGCACCTGTAAATATGGAGATAAGTGCCAGTTTGCCCATGGCATACATGAGCTGCGCAACCTGAGCCGTCACCCAAAGTACAAGACTGAGCTGTGCCGCACCTTCCACACCATCAGTTTCTGCCCATACGGCCCCCGCTGCCACTTCATCCACAATGAAGAAGAGCACAATGGGTCCCATCCTCTCTCTGCCTTTAATAAGATGGAACGCCCTCGGCTGCAGCACAGTTTCAGCTTCGCAGGCTTCCCCAGCTCCAGCAGCTGGCAGGGCAACCCCATCTCACTCGCACCTTCACCTATGTTCTCTACTGAAGATCTGACAGATTGGCAGAGCAGCCCCTTCACCTACTCCAGCCAGGAGCTTGCCAGCCTGTTCAGCCCAAGTTTGGGGGCCCCACCTGTGTTTGAGCCAGACAGTCTGGCCACTCCTTCTCCAACCACCAATTGCTTTTTCCAGTGCACACCAGAGAGCCCCCCTAGCCCTCCAGCCTCTCTGTCTGACAAGGAGGGCTACCAGAGCAGCCTGGGCAGTCAGAGTGACCCTGAGTCCTCCCTCCTAGATTCCTCCCGCCGCCTCCCCATCTTCATCACACTCTCTGTTTCTGATGATTGAGTGTCTGCATCCCTGGGACTGAAATGGGAGTGATATGAAGAATTGGGGAGGGAGGGCGCAAGATAGAGTAAGATGAAGAGCATTTACCAACCTCATTCGCTCCTCGTCTGAACTCTGTTTACAGGAGAAGCAGATCACTCTGTGCACTGTTGTAAACAGTGAATCACATCAGAGAACTGGATGGCTTCTCTTGCTTAAGGATATTTTTTTTTACCTTTAAGGAGACCCTGCCTCTTACACTCTAAATCCAGATGAAGTGTCTTAAATATAATGAACAGTTTGTTCCTTTTTGTACAGTACAGGCCCTGCACTGGTGCCTTGATGGGATGAATGTGAAAAAGAGTTCAGAGATCTCATTATAAAGTAGTTTAATATGACTTAAGTACAGTAGCAGTGTCAATGGGGGTGAGGTGTGTATGTTCACTACTGGGCGTCTGTGCTGTACTCAATGTTGTCAGGAGGCTATTATTATTATTATTATTATTATTATAAAGCCAAAGTCATTTCTTGTCATGTCCAGTATCCCGTTCTCTCCCATGTGTCATGGAGGTCTTGTGTTTTTAAGAGGCTGAATCACAGATTGCCCGGATGCTGGTGCTGTGTGTCTTATTTTATTGCTAAATGTTTTCAGTTTTAATTGTTAGTTTGCTGCAGGGTGAAGTGAAAAATTTCAATTTCTTTTAATGACCAGCATTGGAGTTTTAAATGCACAAGTCTTCGAACAGGAAACAAAATGATCTCTGAAGCCGGAAGTTGAGTTAAAGGGTCATTTCACTCAAACCACACTGAGCACAGTTACAAAAATAAGTATATTTGGTTTTCAGGTTTAGAGAGTACTGTCTTTGACATTTCTGCCTCCGTCTGAATATAGTGGGAGGTGGGTAGAATTTAATTGGCTCACTGTTTTACAAATTACTTTCAGCAGCAGCATTTCTGTCACTCTGGATCAGCCAGATAACACACTAGAGCTTTCTTATGGGCTGTTTCCTTGGTAGAAAGTGGTTCCAATGACAGGTGTGCAGACTGAATCTGGAGAAACGGGGGCACTGCACTGATTGAATGTTTAAAATCTGGTTTATCAGTGCCAACAACTTGCAAGGAAGGGGTTAAGGGAGATGTTTCATTGTTTTTTTTCTTTTCCTTTTTTTTTTTTTTTGGATTTTTTTTGTGAACTGACTCTTTAACAGACTGCCAGCTGACCATGGTGACCAGCTGTTAATAGGTTCCTGGTGTTAATTTGCCTTGTTGGTTTTTTTAAGTTCAAACTCTGCTGCAACATTTTGGTCATTAAAACACCAGCAGTTGAGCTTTTTTTCAATCTGATCACATTTTTACAACCCCCTGATTCCACCATGCTTATTATTATTATTATTATTATTATTATACATGTCTGGTGTTTTTCCTGAAACCTTAAATGTTAGGGCTTTGTCACTGCGTATTTATCAAAACATATTTATTGCTAATCATAAGCATTTTTAATTTTGTATTTATCTGGTCAATGAAACATGGAATAAGATTTCTTTTATGTTAAATTATGAGCTTCCATCACAAGATTGCAAAGACCAGTTTTTATTTTTTCACAGTTAATATATTGGACTGCAATGGCAGTTTTTAAACATGATTTATTGCGAAAGTGATTTTTATTTTGAAACATTTAATTTAGCATTTGTATTTGTTTGCTTCTGTCACATGCTGGACTGCAGGTTGTGGTTCTCTATCACAGTCTGAGGTGTCCTAGTGCATGCTACTGCCATGTCTTCTTAGTGATGGGGTGAGTTTCTGCAGATGCCATAATCAAGATGAAAAATGACAAAAGGTAATACAATAATTGCAGACTAATCAGGTAACTAAGCTAGTGGCATACAGTTGTTTCAGATATGGGCAAAATATGAATACCCTGAGTGTGCAGGTGGTGCTGGTTCAACAGGGTTCATGCCAACATGCACATCCACCTCAGTGATGGTTGCTGGGTACTCTGTTCTGCTTTTCATGTGTAGCAGCTCCCCCTGCTGCTTTTCCCCCATTTTGCCATCTGTACATGCAGGGTGTTTTTGTGCTAGACTAGTTGACACCTCTAAAGTATGCCATTCCCTGTGAATACACACACACACACACACGTATCTGTGCAGATTCTCAGTCATCCAGGTCAGAGTAAACTGAAAAAATCAGCTGGACATGTTTTCTAGGTTAAAGACGTTTTACCTCTCATCCAAGAGGCTTCATCAGTTCTGAGTTCTGTTACTATGGTATGGTCCTATAAGTATCAGTCACTTGATCAGTTCTACTCTGTTACAAAAGCATTTTGAGTTTTTATTTTGCAAGGGTAATATAAGCATGCCAGTTCCACAGTTATCACGCACAGACTTACTAGCACTTTGATGATGATGATTAGTGTAGAGGGCATTTTGACCACTTTTTTTCCCATGATGTGCCTAATACATTCCAGGTTTCCCAAATGTTGTGCCTTCATTGTTTCGCTATAACGGAGCAAATAAAAGCCTAAATTGTATTCCTGTAGGTTAGAGGTTAACAGGATTAACATGAAAAGTGGAACTATTGAATGTATTTTCCAGCAGCTGTTGCTGTCACTACAGTAAACACTTTGTTCATGATTTTGTAAAGATAGATGCATTTAAAACCAATAAAACATGCATTTACATTGAATGTGTGAGTTAATCTTGTGATACTACACAACACTGAGGTTAGAGTTTAGGACCATACCAATGGTTCAGCTCTTTTACCGTTTGTTTATCAACGCATACTGTAGTACAGTCTTTGGGTTGTGTCCCAACTTACTGTATCTGCTACTGCTTGCTCATCAATTTGTTGTCATAGTATGAATCTGGGTTGTGAACATAAAAGTGTTTAAACATTACCTTGTGTAACACTGGTCTACAACCAAAATGCTTTGGAAACAAAAATAATCCATTTTAGCTAATTCTGGGCCTCTGAAATGAAAATAATTGGCTCTGGTTTTGTTTGAGTATGGTAGTGGCAACATGAATTTTGCTCAGAAATGACCAAACTTGGTCAGATTACAGAAGGAAAGATATCTGAGCAAAGCCAGAAATAAACAAAACTCCTGGTGGATCTAATGACTAATGAATAATTTGCTTTTGATACAACAGGCTTCTTAGCTGAAACAATATTTAAACTAAGGTGCTTATTACTGTCATACCTCAGCTCAAGACATCAAATTCTTTGTTTTATATGTACATCAGCCAATATTCTCAAAAGGTGTCATCTTTACAAATGTTTTTTGCAGCATAAAACATGTAAATGGCTACATATCCTAACTATATGTAATCTGTCTTTTAAAGGTTGTATGTGACTTTAGCATTCTCAGAATCCCCCCAAAACTAGCAGATTTCATTTAGGAAGCAGAAAACCTTAAAATTGTAGAGCAATGCAATAGATATTATTACTTCTTATATCCTTTTATTTGGAAACTACTGATAAGGTGTTTTCAGGTTTGGAATGCATTTTCCATCTATCCAAGCAGTATTGGTTTAAATTAACATTGCAACAACATCTCTGGGAAATCAAATTAGAAGGACTTAAAACGTTATGTGTAATTCAACATCATGCTTGCTTTTGTTTTAATAATTCTGTTAAGTAAAGGTTGGTCTGAAAAGTTTGCTCTGCACTACTGCAGTCTGAGGAGTTTTTTTTTTTTAATTCAGGGTCGGTTCACTGAGAGGGCACCTCTCTTTTCCAGGACCTGTCCCATCCAGATTTCAATCTGCCAGTCTGGGGACTGAATCAACAGCCTTGTGATCACAAGCTTGCTTCTTTAACCTTTAGTGAGGTTCTCACAGCCCATCACTGCCATTATAGTATGGCTGAAGTTTGTGTTGACTTGTATTCATACCTCCAGTTCTTTATATACCCTTCCCCTGCCAGATACCAGCACACATCTTTCCTTCAGGAAGCTTGCCTTCACTGTGTTGCTGGTGGAGCAGGTCCATCCTCATGACCTGGTGTAACTTATTGGTGTCATAACCTTTAAATGTTGTTTGATGTTGTTTGGATCTTTGCAAAAAAAGTAAGATGTGTGTTACATGGATGTGCTTGTATGAGAGGGCTCTTGCTGTTGATTACACAGTGAAATTCACATGGTCCCTAGTAGAGTAGCTTATCTATTTGACCAGTAGTTTTAAAAATTGGTACAATCAAATATCTGACATGAATGTGAACACCGAGATGAATATCTGAATGTGAAGTGTCTGTCTTCCTTTCATTGTGTTCTGCTCAACTGTCCAGTCAGGAGAAAGTGCTGGCTTGGATGCCAACATCCAACTCCTGACAGCATTAATCCTGGCATTGTGCTGGAATTATCTGTGGTTAGTGTGATTGCTTTCTAATTTTTCACCTAGTGCGATGTGATTATTGTGAAAATGGCACAGCAGTAGAAATGCAACAACATTTTTTTTAGAGCTCTGGCACATTCTGGCATTCCACTGCTGCATTACGAAACAGTTAGTTATGCTTTTATCAAGATTTCATCATTTTCCTCTGTGTAAACATACACAGTTAAATTTTAGAAACCACAGGGAAACGAATCCCATGGATATGGTATTCCATACATCTTTTCAAAAGTTATGCATTTTGGGGCACTATAGAAATGTGGCTTTCTCTGAACCACATGTGGACTGACAGATTAGTATGTCTAATGTAGCCAGTTCAACTTAATCCACCAGTTTCTTTTACTGATACACTAAGGTTCCATCCAAGGGGGAAAACATGGTAAAAATGTCTAGTGTTTTCACATTTTGAGATGAGAAATTAAAAAATGTAAATTAACCTGGTGGAGGGAAGTACACTGTGTATAGGCCTACTGATTTAACTGACCCCAGCTTGAGAACAGTTTGCAAATGTACAGTGCCTTGCGAAAGTATTCGGCCCCCTTGAACTTTGCGACCTTTTGCCACATTTCAGGCTTCAAACATAAAGATATAAAACTGTAATTTTTTGTGAAGAATCAACAACAAGTGGGACACAATCATGAAGTGGAACGAAATTTATTGGATATTTCAAACTTTTTTAACAAATAAAAAACTGCAAAATTGGGCATGCAAAATTTTGCCCCATTTATTTGAATGGGGCAAAATTTGCTGAAAAATTTCACATCTTAACTTCAGCATACCTTTTAGCTAGAAAAATGATCCCATCTGTTACCTCTTCAGCAACTCTTCAGCTATTAGTAATGTACACAGCTTTTTGATATCTTTTATGGTTTTTGCATAATTACCATTTATATTTTATGCTTCAGTTCAATAGCAACACTGTAGTAGTCCTCAGGGTGTATGATTACTCCCCCCCCCACACACACACATATACACAAACACCTACACACCTACACACACGACCCTACTTGTTTTACCTACTTTGTTGGGACCGATTGGAAAATTTTCATATCTTAATAAGTTCAGCATACTTTCAGCTAGAAAAGCCATTCAGGTATCAAAATGTTAAGCTCTTGAATGAC